TGAAAACCCTAACCAGGAAACTGGGTCACATAGGTCCTGTTAGGCTCCCTGGCTGGGGACCTCGGGATGATCGTAACCGATGGTTAGAGACACTGAGCGATATGGCTGTGTGTCGTAAACAGTGGTGTTCGTGCATCTCCTCAATTTCTTCCCAACCTTAGTCCACTGAACTTCTCCATTTTCCTTTCAAATCCACTTTCAACTTTCCTTTCTTCTCCTATTCTTCATCCCAATGGGTAGCCAAAAGACAGCAACCAAAACCGGCGCTCGAATATGCGTGGTTAATGGTTGCACCAAGTGAAACAGGGAATGAATTGCTGCAAGATTTGATACTAATTGTGGGTTGGATGTGAGGACAAGATCGAAGGTATGGACGTGGTCGCCAGCACGGTGGGGATAAGGGTCGTTAAATCAACCAGTTGGTGAAGCTTGTTTAATGAGGCAAATGGTTCTGCTTTACATCCAAGGGGCGATGTCCTTGAAGTGTGTAACAGCCAATCCCTGTTATGGATATTAAAATCACCCAAAGTTGTGAACTGAACTTTGGGATCTGTTTCAACAATGCCATCAATGTTTGTCGATAAATTATCAAAGTGTGAAGAGTCACTGCTGTTAGGAGAGCGGTATGCAGTGCAGTGACTGAAAGAAGGGAACAATAGTTTCGGCCACATGGTTTGAAACTCGTGGATGGTGAGATTTAAGTTGAGGAACGGGGTAGAAGCAATTGAATGATGGATGAAAGCACGAATACCAGATTTGGGGATTCACTAATTATGAGGAGAATAATTGGGAGAGTAAAGATCGGTGGTCTGCAGAAGCAGAAACTTGTGTTTCGGATAAACAATAGAATAAAAGGGGAAGCGAACTGAAGAAATTGATGCATGGAATCAATATTGTGGTTCAAGCCACGTGAGTGCGATTGTCGAGTGGGAATACGCTTAATAAATTATCCTGTTGTAGTATTCACATTGAGATTAGAAGTAACCGGCAACCTAACCCTAGAACTTGGAGTGGCGAATCACGTAAGGTCTTGGTGGCTAGGCGGTGGCGCTGATCGGGCCGACGGCAGAACCGTGTACCACATGTATACCACATATACATATATAAATTTCGAGTCTGCACTGTACAATAATCTCTATAAAAATGAAGAAGTTCCGTGATTTGCTTGTAAGCAGTGAACTGTCATATTGTCCTGGATAAGGCTGATGGATTTTCTTGGGGAATACAACAGGAGCCTTCGATTAGCCAAACCTGACCCTTAAATCAGTGGGCGGCGTGTGATCCAGCGCAATCCACTGAAGACCGGTATCCAGTTCGCCGTATCATGCATCCTTTGAACGGGGTCAAACTTCTACACCTCCATGACCAATCGAGCTGGTAAAGATTGTTACAACGAAGGGCGGTCAAGCTAAGACCTGGCATGAGGGTATGAAAACCCTAACCAGGAGACTAGGTCACATAGGCCCCGTTAGGCTCCCTGGCTTGGGACCTCGGGATGATGGTCATCGATGGTTAGAGACACTGAGTGATATGGCTGGGTGTCGCAAACAGTGGCGCTTGTGCATCCACTCGTTATTTTTCTAACACACTCTATATGTATTCCCCATCTCACTCTATATGTATTCAGCATATTCCGCTTGAATTTGCTTCGACATTCCAATCTTCATTTCGTTATTTTATCCAAATGGGCAACCAAAAGACAGCAACCAAAACCCGCGCACGAAGTGCATGGTTAATGGTTGTAAAACTGAAACTGAAACTGGGGTAACACCTGGACGTCAAGGCAGTGAGTAGGGTTTCTTTGGCAGAGGCTATTTGAGATGCTTGGTCGTACAGGAGCATTGGATGAGGTGCAACGGAAGGGTGAGCAGCCACGACCCGAGACACCTAACCTCATCGTACGGAGGCTTTCGAAGGTTGATTTGTATTTGTTCTAATCGCTTTCAACCAATAGCTTCAGAAACTAGAACTAGGCTTTCTCAAAACAAAACCATGACCTGTCAACAACAGGGCTAGGACTTTTGAGTCTTCTGTTGTTTTCCCCCAAACATTTACTGTCCGACGAAGTTTCCTGAGATATCACACACACGTCGTGGACCAGTTTTCACTCGACGTCGCTTCGATCAACTTCAATTGAATTTCCTCCTTGCTCGTGGGTTGCGCACATTGGCGGACAGACACAGATACATCCATCTACCCAGTAACTCAGATTCCAATCAAGCCTTGCTGTGCTCTGTTGTCGTGGGCACCAGCAAGCCTTTCCCGACGTACTTGGTTTCAATTCTGCAATCCTTCTGTTTCACTCCACAAAGTGATATCCGGAAGGATCCTGACAATTGACGTGCTTTGTAAGGTAGTCACCGGTTCATTTAGCGAAGCAACGATTTTTCTGAGGTAAACCATTGATGAGGTTGTTTAAAAGTTACGGAAATAATAAAATCGTGCCTTCAAAAGTGAACTTTGCGGCTGTGTTTATTCTTTTCTGCTCTGACCTTGACTGTTGTTTCTTATTTTATTCCTACTGATATCTTATTTTCCCTGTAACGTCACACTTCATTTCTTCCAATGCACAGGCCTCGGTTGCATCTGTCGTGCACACAAAACTCCTTCCGGTTCTTCGTAGCCTCGATTTGAATGCGCTTTCGGACGAGGTTGAACAGATTGCGTTGGCCGTTTTGCATTGAATCCTCCTCCTCCTAACCGTCGAGATGGACTCCCCTATCCCGGACACTCAGTCCATTCCACACATTGTCCATCATATGCCGACGATTTGCATTTCGCGATTCTCTGTATTTTTTAATTGACCGTTGATTTTTATTCTTGCTTATTTTTGATATGGCTTGTTTTACGACTCCGAAATATAAATGTCCACATTCCGATCGATTGTTTTGTCTCACCTCGTGACTGGCGCTCGGTGTGGGATCAGACGGTCTCCCTCCCCAAACTGATTTTCTGGCATTCAAGATTGGTAGCCATTATGAGCGCGTACAATCACGGGAAGTAAATTGTATCCATTCGGAGAATTGATCACCCAGGATGTTCAACATGTCGTCCCCGTGGAGAAGATGCTTGAAGTACATTCTAATCATCGGATCCATAAGCACTTGCCTAATCCGATATCTGAGATAAAAACGCTGTAAAGCAGTTCGTCGGCGAAGCGGAAACACTGATAATTTCGGGGATCAAACATAGATAATGCAATTCGAAGGACAAGAACGTTCAATTGAACTTATATAGGATCACGGATAACTACCATAGTTTCGTACATGTCGCCCTTGGCTTAAATTTTATCTGTCGAGCGATTGGAGAATTTCTTTTTTCTTATTCACTTCCTTTAATTGAACACAAAGATACAACTTTCTGGAAGGAGGAAGCTGCCATACAGCGCAGAGAACAGAGGTTATGTGATGTTGGGATTCGAATGCACGTCCTCTGGGTTGATAATTTGGTGACTTTGCCACCGTGCCATCATGGCCACAAGTTGTGTGATTTAGCTCAAGGACATGCGTGTGTGAGAGAGAGAAAAGGAATGTTTCGCGATTCTGGGATGGGTCAAAAGGTT